ACCGACACTTGGCTTTCTGACAGAGTCTCAGATTCAGCTACAGACCCACTCTGTACATTGGGGAGACCACACTGCTGCTTCGGGGAAGATAAAAGGAGGCGGCATGTGTGTGTGTCTCTGTGTATTTATCAATAACTCGTGGTGTGGAGATGTACGGTTTATAAGCACTGTTCACCAGACGTAGAGTTTTTATTGCTGAAATGGCCCTATTATCTAGCAAGAGAGCATAGTGCTGTGCTTTTGGCTGCTGTGTATGTTAGCCCAAGAGCTAATCACTCTGCGGCTCTCAGCAAACTATGATGCCATCAGCGCGCTAGAGACAGCTCACCCCGATGCCTTATTTAATCGCTGCAGGCAACTTTCACCAGTGCAATTTAAAGACTGTACTTCCCAAATATTACCAACAAGTGAACATTCCAATCCGGGGCAAGAACACTCTGGGTCATGTTTACAGTGACATACGGGGTGCATACAGGGCTGCACCACGCCCCCACCTTGGACGTTCGGACCACATTTCTTTGTTCCTGTATCCAGCTTACAGACAAAGACTGAAACAACAATCCCTGTCGCCAAACAAATTAAACTCTGGACCCCAGAGACTGAAGGCGCCCTGCAGGACTGTTCGCCCAGACAGACTGGGATGTGTTTAAAGCTGCAGCCACCTCAGAGGACTTTTCTGTCAGCGTACAGGATTATGCCGAGTATGTGACCGGGTACATTAGTACTTGTATTGACAACATTGTGGTCACCATACAAGTCAGGAGATTCCCCAAACAGAAGCCCTGGATAAACAATCAGGTACGCCACATGCTGCGTGCTTGCTCTCATGCATTCAGATCAGGCAATGAGATGGAGTACAAAGCTGCAAAGTACAGACTGAGGAAAGCCATCGCAGCGGCCAAGAGACAGTACAAAGAGAAGCTGAATGGCTTCTATTCTACTGCTGACTCCGGATAAATGTGGCATGGCCTGCAGCACATCAGACTACAGGACCACCATCATCATCATCACCATCATCACAGACAGCCTGCCGGTTGACCTCAACACCTTCTACACCTGCTTTGACACCTCCAGCTACAGCACAGAGAGGAAGCACACACACCGAGACCACATCATCGGGACGCT